GCCGCGGGGAGCGGGGGCGGAGGCCGGGGCCCGGGGGGCAGGCGGCACAACAGGAAGTGAGCGTGGCGGCGGGGGCGGGCGGGCACGCGCTCCCCTGGGGCCTGCCCCGCCCGCTGCCCCGCGGCGCGCAGGTGGACTTCGGCGCGTCCCGTCCCCTGCTTCGCCCCTTATTTAGTCCCGCGAGGTCCCTGGGGCGCCGGGTGGCAGTGGCTTTTTGCCTCGGGGAGGGGGGGGGGGCGAATTCTGACTCTTTGTGCTGACAGGAAGTTGGAAAATGAAAGTACAGTAATTCAGTGCTTACCGAGGCCGCGTGAGTTTGCGGCTCTTCCCCGGACTTTGATCTGCTCCGGGGCACACGGTCACCCGAGTCTCTGCCTCTCCCCAAGTTCGCTATTCATCCGGTGTCAAGTTTCATTTCTTTTTCTACTTCTCTCCCGCGAGCCCCCTGCCCCCTTTACTTTCCGCTTAATGTACAGCTGCGGCGAGGTTGGTCGTTTCTAGGTTCCTGGGAAGGTCAATTGGAAACGCCTTTGGGGGGGCGGGCTATTAAGTGGCCTCGGCAGGAAATCAGGGGTATTGTTGACTGAACTAGTCAAAGGATACACAGTTGACTTTTCCCCCGGATGTTGCTGTTTGAAGTTTAGGGCATTCACCTGAAGACTCTGGAGTCTTACTCCTTATCTCGACAATTCATCTCTTTGCCGTCTCCCAGCCACCATCCCGCTACGTGGAAGACTCGGTGCTTTAATATTTAGGACTGTCAGCGGTGTTTTCGTTAACATGTAGCTGTGATTCAGTTTCCCACCCCTTCACCACCCCTTCCCCGTCAGGCATTCCTTTCTCCCTGCATGAGTGAAATTCATTATGTTCTTAGGGAAATACTGCCCTTCGAGTTCTACCACAATGGAGCTATGCTTTTACTATTGTTTTAATATAGGGTGCAGTTAAGAGACTCCTGATTATTTTTCAAGGATGATGGTTTTGATTCAAAACAAGTCTTGATACATTTCATAATTTGGTTTTGCTTTATTTAAGCAGCACGCTGAATTTGGAGACCTTTATTATTTGGGTTTTGGCTGCTGTTTCTGAAAAATAGTCGGGCTGTGGGTCACCGCAGCAACTGGACTATGTGTATTATAAACATGTTTAGGGTGGAAAAAGTTTCATTTACTGGAGACTTCCTTTCCCTAATAGGTTATGTCAACATACCTTCTTTCAGCTTAGCATTGGGATAGAGCTACCTTTCAAGTGTCAAGGTAGAATCAATTATGTTTTCAACATTAACTCCTCAAAAATCAGTTCTTTGATTTGCAGCACGTATTTCTTTCCCTCATCAGACTTCTGAAGAACTCTTTTAAAATTGTCATTTTAGAAAACGTGGGTTTTCCTGTGAAGGAAAGTAAAGGTTTTTATTGATAAGTAGCTAGAATAAAAGTATTTGTATTTTTTGTTTTTTGTTTCACGTTTTTAATTGTCTTCTGGATTTTTTTTTTCCTTTTCGTTCTTTTTTATGGCTGAGGAAATCATTGAATTTCATGTCAGTAGCACACGTTTAGGAACTAAAATGAAGAGGCTCAACCTGACTGTATACACAGAGGTTCACCAACTTTTCAGTCAAAGAGTATAACCTGTTGTTAAACTTGAATGAAGAAAACATTCCTTTAAGGTACCCACTGGAGATGTCCATTTTATATCTTTGTTAGTTTTTGGGAAAAGACAATTCTTTTCCAGTACTTCATTCCAAAACCACAAGGCCCTTTTTCTTTGATTCTCAACAACCTCCTCTCCCGGAGGCGCTGCTGAGCCCTAAAGAAGCCTCAGCGTTTCCCAGGGCAGCTAAGTTCGGCCTGAAGTAGCGCCCACCAGCACTTGACTCTGTCTGTGCCCTGGCCCCCTAGTAACCAGCTTGGGAAGATGGAAGTTGGAAGGTGTACCCCGAGCCCCTTTGGGAGCCTCCGTACTTTCGGGAGCCTCCCCTCCGCTCAGGACGGCACCTGTGTGCTCGTGGTGGAGATGTGGATGGTTATGTGTGTCTTTGTGTGCATATCTTAGCTGCTATTAACCTGTAGGATCCATGCATTGTCTATGTGATAGGTATTAATATTCTCGGATTTCGTTTGGGAATTTTTCCAAAAACAAACGGAATTAGAGGTACCAAATTTGTGATTATTTTGAGATTCAGTTCTCTTTTTCCCTTCCCTCTCTCCCCTACTCCCCTTTCCCTTTCCCCTCCCACTGGTGTTCTCTCTTCCTCTCTCTCTCTCTCTCTCTCTCTCTCACACACACACACACACACGCCCACATCCCAACCCCATAAGCATTATTGATATGAAGATGATGTCTGGAAGTATGGAGACAGTTCTTTGGTTAAGCTAAAAATTTATTAGAAAGTACTTTGAACAGGCTTAGACTGAAAAAAAATCATTTAGGTGTTAAACATATGTAATTAAAAGCCGTAAACAGGCATCATTATCTCTGGTAAATTGAGAGAAATGATACCCCCCCATACTTGATGGATCATAATATAAAACCACTTTTTAAAAATTTTATTATTATTATTTATTTTTAATGTTTAATTTTGAGAGAGAGAGAAAGCGCATCAGTGAAGGAGGGACAGAGAGAGGGAGACACAGAATCCAAAGCAGGCTCCGGGCTCTGAGCTGTCGGCACAGAGCCCGACGTGGGGCTCGAACCCATGACCCATGAGGTCATGACCTGAGCCGAAGTCGGACACTTAACCAACTGAGCCACCCAGGTGCCCCTAATTTTTATTTTTTAAAGTTTATTTATTTTGAGAGAGAGAGAGAGGGAGAGAGAGAATCCCAAGCAGGCTCCACACTGTCAGTGTAGAGCCTGACAATTCATGGGCCTAAACCCATGAACCGTGAGATCATGACCTGAGCTGAGATCAAGAATTGGACACTTAACTAAGCAGCCAGGTGCCCCTAAAACTACCTTTTCAACTCAGTTTAAGTGAGGCCATGGCAGAGATTAGCGGACATGGTTACTTAATATTAAAGTTGCACTTCATAGTTCTAAGCTATTGTCACTTAGTATCTAATATGTAATATGTCACTTAGTATTCCAGCTGCTGGCAGGAATGCTGTTATGCATCCAGGGAGTGGTTTCCCTGGTGAACAGAGTGTGACTCTGATGGAAGACTTGGACTCATGGCCTCAGCTTCTCCATTAACTGTGTGACTGGGGACATCTCCTGCTTTCTGTTCTTTATTATTTTCCCATCTCTGCTTTTGGATGACCATATCTGCACAGCCGGCTTCAAAGGGACGAGTGAGGATTATTGGAAGACATTTTTGAGTGTCTCAGAAAACTTACGGAAACCCAGAAATCTTCCACTTCGGTTCCTCCTGCCTTTTTTGGGAGCGGAAATAGTTGACCCTTAAGGACCCTATCCTTTGTGAGTTACATACACATTGTTAGAATTAGGCTTCTGAGGCCCGTGCTTTTGTAATGTTTGTAGTGTTTTTAACATCTTTGAGATAAAATTCATCTACTTAAGTTGTACAAGACAGTGGTTTTAGTGTATTCAAGGAGTTGTGTAACCACCATTGCAGTCTTTTATTTATATCATCCCATAAGCAGTCACTCCCCATTCTTCTCTCCACCCAGCTCCTGGCAACCTGGGATCTACATTGTGTCTGATACATTTGCCTATTCTGAACATTTCATATAAATCGAAATAAAATAATGTGGCCTTTGTGGCTGGTGTCTTTCACTTAACACAATGTTTTCAGGTTTGTCCATGTTGTAGCATGTACCAATACTGAAGTCTGTTTTTTTTTTTTTTTTAAACGTTTATTTATTTTTGAGACAGAGAGAGACAGAGCATGAACAGGGGAGGGGCAGAGAGAGAGGGAGACACAGAATTGGAAGCAGGCTCCAGGCTCTGAGCCATCAGCCCAGAGCCCGACACGGGGCTTGAACTCACGGACCGCGAGATCGTGACCTGAGCTGAAGTCGGCCGCTTAACCGACGGAGCCACCCAGGCGCCCCTAAAGTCTGTTTTTTTACGGCTGAATAATATTCCAGTAGTCACACCACATTTTGCTTGTCCATTCATCATTGTTGATGGACATTTGAGTTGTTTCTACTTTTTGGATATTCTAGAATGATGCTGCTGTGACCATTCCTGTGCAAGTGTGTCTGTTGGACATGTATTTTCAGTTCTCTTGGGTATGTACCTAGGAGCCGAATAGCTGGATCGTATTTCTGTTTAGCATTTTGAGGAAGTATCACAGTTTTCCAAAGTGGCTATCCCGTTTTACATTCTTGCCAGCAATGCATGAGGGTTTCACTCTCGACACATCCTAGCCAATACTTGTTATTGTCCATCTTATTGATTATAGCCATCCTAGTAGGTGTGGCATGGTATCTTATGTGGTTTTGATTTTCAGTTCCCTAATAACTAATGTTGAGGATCTTTTCATGAGCTTATTGTCAATTTGTCTTTTTTAAAAAATTAATTATTCTTTGTACGCTTTTTTAAAAATGCTCAGTTTTGAGAGTGACAGAGACAGCACAAGTGCGGGAGGGGCAGAGAGAAAGGGAGACACTGAATCTGAAGCAGACTCCAGGCTCTGAGCTGTCAGCACAGAGCCAGACGCACGCTGGAACTCTTTAACTGCGACATCATGACCTGAGTCGAAGTCGGTGCTTTAATCGACTGAGCCACCCAGGTGCCCTAGTTTGTGTGTCGTCTTTGAAGAGATGTCTTTGCACCTTCCTTTACTTCTTTTTTTTTTTTCTTTGTAAGAATTCTTTATATATTTCTGATACAAGCCTCTTATTTGAAAATATTTTCTCCCATTCTGAGGATTGTCTTTTCACCTGACAATATTGTTTGCAGCTCAAAAGTTTTACATTTTGATGTCAACCAAATTACCTATTTTTGTAGTATTTTAATGGAATTGATTTAATTTGTTTTCAAGTCTTATTTTGGTCCATTGAGATGTCATTCCTAGATAAAGGAAGGAAGGGTTTTTGTTTTTGTTTTCTTGTGCGTGGATAGTTCAGTTACAGGCTTCTTAGGATGTGCTATATATATACGGTGCTTCTTGGGATGGCAGAGTTTCTGCCATAAAGAATTCTTCCTAATGGGAATCTTGAAGTTCTGTGAAGAAAATAACTCTGTGAGGACATTTCCTTGCAGCTCTGTTGCCTAAACCAGTGGTATCCACTGGGACGATTTTGTCTCCCAGGAGAACATCTCGCAATGGCCAGGGACATGTTTGATTGTCACAACCGGTCAGGAGGTGCTGCTGGCATCTAGTGAGTTAAACTCACTGTCCTAGTGCACAGGACAGCCTCCAGGAACAAAGAATTATCTGGCCCGAACAATAGAGCCAAAGCTGAGAAACTCTGGCCGAAACAGGGAAATCCTGAAACCTGAGATATTGAAAGATTTTTAGGGGTGCCTGGGTGGCGCAGTCGGTTAAGCGGCCGACTTCAGCCAGGTCACGATCTCGCGGTCCGTGAGTTCGAGCCCCGCGTCAGGCTCTGGGCTGATGGCTCGGAGCCTGGAGCCTGTTTCCGATTCTGTGTCTCCCTCTCTCTCTGCCCCTCCCCCGTTCATGCTCTGTCTCTCTCTGTCCCAAAAATAAATAAACGTTGAAAAAAAAAATTAAAAAAAAAAAAAAGATTTTTAATTTCATGTCTTGAGAATCACATAAAGGCTACTAATCAAATGAAAGAGGATGTGTGGTGGTGCCTGGCAGACTCAGTTGGTACAGCATGCGACTCTTGATCTCAGGGCTGTGAGTTCAAGCCCCACGTTGGGCGTAGAGCCTACTTTAAAAAAAAAAAAAAAAGTAATTTATGCAGATGGAAGCTCTGTGGGCAGAATGGTGATAGAACTTGTCAAATAAATCAGGGAGCATTTTGTTGAATTTTCGCTGCTGCCAATTTAAATGTAAATTAATTTATGAGAATGGAAACTGTTTGGAGGAGAAAGGCCAATGGAGCACAGGTAGATTATTCCCTATATCTTTGGGCCACTGTGACACACACACACACACACACACACACACACACACACACACACACCACACACACATCCTGGCAGATAAACCAACTGGGTTGATTTGTATAGATGCTGAAAGGGTGGTCTCGGAGGATAGGAGGAGATTTTCAGTTAAAACGTAGTGGCAGTGGTCCTCCGGTGACTGGCCGTCATCCGAGACCGCTCCCGGGACTTAAAGAACTCACTTTATCTCCCAGCAAGACTTTTCTTAAGCAGTGTGGCATGCTTCTGAGTTTGGTCTCTAGATCCAGATTGCCTGGGTTTAAACATCGGCTCCACCAATTACCTGGGCAGCCTCGGACAAGGAGTGACTTAACTCTTTCTGAATCAGTATTTTCAAATGTAAAACGAGGCCGCAGTAGTATCTGTCTTGTAGGATTATTGGGGGAATGCTATGAAGTAATACATTTAGAGCACAGCGCCTGGCATAGGGTGTTAATGGGAGTGGTGGCTGTTAATACCATGTCTTCCCTGTCTGCCTCTTTTCAGCTCACTGCTATGGACAGTGCTATCACCCTGTGGCAGTTCCTCCTTCAGCTCCTACAGGAGCCTCAGAACAAGCACATGATCAGCTGGACGTCTAATGATGGGGAGTTCAAGCTTTTGCAGGCAGAAGAGGTGGCTCGTCTCTGGGGGATTCGTAAGAACAAGCCTAACATGAATTACGACAAACTCAGCCGAGCCCTCCGATACTATTATGTAAAGGTAATACGCATCCACCTCAGAATAAGACCTGTTCCTCTCTTCTGTTGAGGTTATGAAACTACTCATGTCCTGGTTAATTTCAGATTCTTTTAAATCGAGGCATAATTGACCTACAGCATTATATTCGCTTGAGGTGTGCAACATAACGATTCGATGTTTGTGTACGTTGCAAAACGATCACAGACTGCCTTGGATTATTTTGATCCAGTTTATTTGATAACTTCAGCAGTGTGGAATTGGGATGAAATGTGTAAGTGTGCCAGCTCTATTTCTGCAGAGTTCCACTCCTCATACATATTTTGTTCCTAATTGCAGTCATCTTTAAAGGAAAAATGAGCACAGGGTTGGAATAAGGAGCAGAAAATAGGAGATTTCAAGGCTAAAAGAAACATTCTTGTGTACATCATGACTTAAAAATTGTCACACATATGCTTGTGTTTTAGCTTTATTTACTTTTTACTTTTTAATTTAACCCAGGGAACACAAATACCTTAAAGAAGAGCTGTTAGTGCACAGATTTGGTTTCTTAGTTAACATTTATTTTTTGTTTAATTTCTTATTTTGGATACGTTCTTGGGCACTGAGGTACAATAAGTGGCTCAAAATGGATAGAATTGGAATGAGAAGCTGAGATCTTAATTTGTTTCGCTCTGAAGAGCTTGATCTTAACCAGCTTTTCTGTCTGTCTAAGAAACAACTGGAACTTCAGAACGAAGTGGAAACTTCAGCAGAAGTAACGTTCTGTTCCTTTTTGCTTCCTCAGGATGCGTATGGCTTGTACCTTTGGAACTATTTGAGGTTGCAGTTCAGTGATTTTTGACTTAATGCGATATTTGGTTGAGAGTGTTAAGCAATTGAAATCTCCCTTTTACGTAACATACTGGTTCAGTTGTTAATGAGACACTTAAACACTCGACTTGGGCTCCACGGTGGTAGGAACTGCCTTTGGTGTGGCTAGATAAACATAGATGGTTTTGAAGCTCTTCGGTAAACTACTTGCCAAATAGAGTCTTATTAGGTCAGCTTTTTCGTGAGCTGTGGGAGGTAAGTTTATGAGAAAGTGTAAGAATGCTTATTTTGTTTATCTACAGAATATCATTAAAAAAGTGAATGGTCAGAAGTTTGTGTACAAGTTTGTCTCTTACCCAGAGATCTTGAAAATGGACCCAATGACGGTGGGCAGGATTGAGGGGGACGGGGAAGCCGGAGGCTGCGGCGAAGTCACCAGCAGCTGCAGAGATGCGGAGAGTGGGGGCAGGGAGAGGCCGCCTCAGCCTGGCGCCAGGACCTCCAGCCGCAACGACTACATCCACTCCGGCTTGTACTCCTCCTTTACCCTCAACTCTTTGAACTCCTCCAACAAGAGGCTTTTCAAACCGATCAAGCTCGAGAACCCAGCCGAGAAGTTGGCAGAGAAGAAACCTCCTCAGGAGCCAACACCGTCCGTCATCAAATTCGTAACAACGCCTTCCAAGAAGCTACCAGTTGAACCCGTGGCCGCCGTCCTGTCGGCCGGCCCAAGCCTTTCTCCATCCTCAGAAGAAACTCTCCAAGCGTTGGAGACTTTGGCTTCCCCCAAACTGCCTTCCCTGGAAGCCCCGACCTCCGCCTGCAGCGTAACGACCGCGTTTGCCACCCCACCTGGTGCGTCCGCGCCGCCTCCTGTGCAGGAGCCTCCTGGGACGCCTTCGCCGCCGCTGAGCCCTAACCCTGACCTTGACACAGACATCGACTCGGTGGCTTCTCAGCCCATGGAACTTCCGGAGAACTTGTCGCTGGAGCCTAAAGACCAGGATTCAGCTTTGCTGGAAAAGGACAAAACAAGGAATTCCTCGAGATCCAAGAAACCCAAAGGGTTAGAGCTGGCACCCATCCTCGTGATCACGGGCAGCGACCCGAGCCCGCTGGGAATATTGAGCCCATCTCTCCCCACGGCTTCTCTCACGCCAGCGCTGTTCTCCCAGGTAACTGACCCCTTCTTTTTAGCGCCACCGACTCACCTTTTTAAACAAATCCCGAATTTATAACATCAGGTTCTCCTGCTGCTATTTAGGTTTGTCTTAGAAAAGTTAGCTGTGACCCTGTGAAAGTCACCCCGTTCCTCACCCAGTCAGGATCGCTGCAGTGAAAGGTTTGGAGTCGTGTTGTGAAGGATTCATGGTCTCTGCAAGTAGATGAATATTTTCCAACTTCCTCCTAAAGCAACTACTCTCTCTCTCTCTCTCTCTCTCTCTCTCTCTCTCTCTCTTTTTTTTTTTTTTGGTCTTATAGAACTGGTTGGTATCTTATAAAATAACAGTGATAACCTCAAAAGCTGGAAAACAATAAATTCTGAGAAACGTGAGAACAACTGGTGTGATGTTGAGTAGCAAGTGTGCACAGTTACATTAGCCATTTCTTCACTTGCTTGTCTCCAGTCACCTCTCCCGTAACCTTAAATCCATGACTCCCAGACTGCCCGTTACTAAGGGGAACCGTGTTTGTGACTTAGTTACCTGTTACTTCTCCCTACTTGACCAGATTGGTTTCTGTATTTGGGAAAGACCCTACAAAAGACAGGTGAGAAGACATTTTGACCTTTCTTAGCAAGTAAAAATAATTTCTGAGCTTTCCCTCATGATAAAATTTTGGAGAGATTTGGGGCAGAGACTAGGACAATGTTTGGGTTCAGGGCTGCTGGTGTATTATTATAAGGTTGAAACAGTTCTCAGTGACCGTTGCTGTTTTGTGTGTTGCAGACGCCCATCTTACTGACGCCGAGCCCCCTGCTCTCCAGTATCCACTTCTGGAGCACTCTCAGCCCTGTTGCTCCCCTGAGTCCAGCCAGGCTGCAAGGTGCTAACACACTCTTCCAGGTAAAACACCCACAGGTCTGTCTCTTGCACTTGGGGCCTGGTCCACGAAGAGTGGGGCCAAAAGGCAGTGTCTTCACCCTTTGGTTTCATCATTATAAAACTTGTGTTTAACAAACATGCCTTCCAAGTGTTGATTTTCTAGCCAGCGAACAGCTCCGACAAATACAGCCAACGTCTCCTTTCCATTGTTCACTGTGACGTACGTTTGAGTTAGACCAGGGATTGTTCGGTACCGTAGATTTTGAACCTGCCCGATTTCCTTTCCTTGTCGTTAAAAATAATTTGATTTTTTTACATTTATTTATTTCTGAGAGGCAGAGTGAGACGGAGCACAAGAGGGGGAAGGGCAGAGAGAGAAGGAGACACAGAATCTGAAGCAGGCTCCAGGCTCTGAGCAAGCATTCACAGAGCCTGACGTGGGGCTCGAACCCACAAACCGTGAGATCATGACTTGAGCTGAAGTCAGTACTTAACCAACTGAGCGACCCAGGCGCCCCTCCTTGTCATTTTAAATGCTAGAAATCTCTCTCTGTTTTTTTTTTTTTTTTAAAGAAGAAAATATACACGTGTGTGTGTGTGTGTGTGTGTGTGTGTGTGTGTGTGTGAATTTGCAGGAGGATCTGCACGTAGCTTTTCTCTTTTACCTGAGGCTTTTTTTTTTTTTTACTTAATGAGGCTTTTTAAAAGAGAAAAATTTTGAGTATAGTTTATCAAATACGCCCATTTCTCATTCATTTAGAATTGATATTTATCAACATTTTAAATACATATTTAAAAAAATGGATGTTGTGGGGCGCCTGGGTGGCTCATTCAGTTCAGCGTCTGACTTCAGCTCAGGTCATGATCTCGCGGTTCATGAGTTCGAGCCCCGTGTCAGGCCTGTGCTGACAGCTCAGAGCCTGGAGCCGGCTTTGGATTCTGTGTCTCCCTCTCTCTCTGCCCTTCCCCTGCTCATGCTCTGTCTCTCTCTGTCTCAAAAATAAATAAAACATTAAAAAACTCTTTAAAAAAAAATGGATATTGTGTGATCCCTTAGCCAAGATCATAGGAAGGGTCTTACAGCTTTTAACCATCATTTTGCCTCAGACACCTAGACTTTTTAACTCCTAGAGTTTATTTTGGTTGGTTCATTCACTTATTTAGGGGAGACTCCTTGGGAGATTTTCTTATATTTTGTAATTTAACTTTTCATTTGTTCTTTTGGAAATGAAATGGTAAGGAAAAAAGAAAATTAAAAATCTTCCTACTTCTGCATTTTTTTATTTTGTAAAACATTCTAAGTTATTGACTAGAAAGCGTTGAGAATTTTTTATATTGTATTTTTATGTTTTTCTTTGCCTCTCACAGATAATTGAGTTAGAGAGTGACCAGAGACCTCAGGCAAAGCTACAGTGCTCATGTGGCTTCAGCCCGGACTCTCCCTATAGAACTGGTCTTAGAATACATGATGGGGAAGGCTCTTCTAGGATGAATACGTCTAACTCTTTACACCAGTTGTAGAGTTCATAGATGGGCATCTCTTTCCGGACCTCTTTTTGACAGTCTGCAATTTGTTTTATGATTGAATTGTACTCTGTCGTGCGTGTTGTCATTTACTGAACTTTTTAAAACTTTCATATGAAGTTAAATGTAAACCTGTATACCTTTGGCTATAAGGGAAGGCCTCATAGGTTTGTTCCTTCCTTCAAGGTAGGCTGGAGACTGTAATATGTAACATGTAGGACGAACAGTTTTTTTTCTTTAAAGTTTCTGCTGTGACATCATGTTCTTCCATGATAAACGGTTACTACCTTTGTCCTGTGAGCCACTGCAGGTGGCTTTCGTTTTCTGCCTCAGGGAATGTAGCAGGGACAGAAAATGAAAGTTGGGGTTGAGTAATAGGATGATAATGTGTTTTTATTTTCTTTCTCAGTTTCCTTCTGTACTGAACAGTCATGGACCGTTCACTGTGTCTGGCCTGGATGGACCTCCCACCCCTGGCCCATTTTCCCCAGATCTACAGAAAACATAACCTATGCACTTGTGGAATGAGAGAACCAAGGAGTAAAGAAAGAGAAAGACATTCGACATGATTACATTTGGAGTGAGCGATTAATAGTTCTACAATGCTGATAATAGACTATTGTGATTTTTGCCATTCCCCATTGAAATGCCTTTCTAAGATTCCCTTTGACTATGACTCAAGTTGGACTGTATATAAAAATGCCTTAATTGGAGTCCAAACTCCACCTCCCTCCCCCTTGCCCTCTCCCTCCCTAACTCCTCCTCTTCCCTCCCTCCCTCCCTCCCTCCCTCCCTCCCTCCCTCCTTCCCTCCTTCCTTACTTCCTTTCCTCCCTACCTCCCTACCTCCTTCCCTCCCTCCTGAATATTTTGAGCTTTGTGTTTAAAGAAATTTTTGGTGGGGTTTAGCAGTTAGCTATGCTTTGTAGGAGCAGTTAAGAACAAAGTTATTCCTTCTGCCTTATCGGGACCCTTTGGCCAGGAAAACATTTATGCTTTGAGTATATCAGTTGAAGAAATGTTAAATGCAGTTGGCCGTATCTTTAGGACTAAGTGTGTTCTGTTGAAAAATTAAAAGTGAGCTAACACCAAGTAAGATCAGAGCAGTACTGTTGGGGAGATTCTGTTCTGCTCTGAACTATAACATGTGTAAGCAGTCCACGGCAAGGCATCCTATTACCTGTATCGGGGTGGGTCTCTTAGCCGTGTGTGTGATCTTGTCTGAACCTGTGAACAGCATGGAGCCTGGTCTGTTTCAGCATAGGAAGATTTTTAAACGTGGGGTTTACGACCACGTTTTGCAACAACCGGTGAGAATAGGGGACCCCATCGCTAGCACAGAAATGTCTGCTCGCTGGTGGTATAATTACACACCCGTGATATGTACAGGATGGTAAGTGATGGCTTTTAGGATGAACCTGGGTTGTGAAATCTCGAGGCATCTCTGAGTAAAACATTCAGTTGAATAACTTGAAACCACATGTGGGGCTTTCTTTCCCAGTTAGAAGATACTTTTTCTTTTCTGTTCACTGCACATTTTATCTTTTAAATTTCAGGTTGTTAGGGGTTGGGATTGTTTTAAAGATGTAATTAGGAAGATGAAAAGCAAAGCAAAGCCTCCAAATCTATAGTGAGGTAAAGATGTTATGTCTTTGAAAAAAAGTTTTTTATTAGAGAGCAGCAGAATTTGTTTGGAAATGCTCATGTACAGGGATTGGATTGTTCACAGTAGTAGCGAAAAACGTAGGCCTTCATCTCTACATAAACCACATTTATAAAATATTATCATGTGGTACTCAGCCCCAGGTGGAGACAGATTTGTGGATAGTCCAAGCTGAATTGATAACCAACATCACAGTGGAATCTTTGGGAAAACTTGGCTTTTAAAGCCTAGGATTAGATTATATGCCACGACCAGCACTACAACACTGCCCGTTAGGAACCTCATCTTTTAACCCTAGAAGGAGTTCTGTAATGGAGTCCCAAACCAAATGGAATGAGGGAGTAAGGTTTTGAGGGCTCCAGATGACACTGATAGGAACCAGCATCTTCCAGATGTAGAATATTCACTTTAAATATGTTTCTATACAGTGTGGAGGAGCTACAGTGTGAGACATGCATGTTAGTTAGTAGTCAGGGAGGGACAACATTCAGGGAGCCGTCTTCACATCTGTCGTCTTGGGGACCCGTTCACTGGTTCGTCAGTGGCTATGGGCTGAAAGGTGTGCTCCTGAGGTGCGCGACAGTTCTGGAGGCAATGTTTGGTAGTGATGGGGAGCGGACGGTGGACTTCTCTCCCACACGGAGTCGCTTCGTGGGCATGCTTCTTCGGAATCAGACCTCAGCAGCACTTTGGGATAGTTTTATTAGGTTTATGAATATTTTGTACATTAAATCTAAGTATTGATGGCTCGATTTAACTAGATATTTAAAATTTTGAAAGCACAAAAGTATTTTATCTTTTTGAATTAAAGGAGAAAAGCCATTGGTTGTTTTCATAGACAATATCTTTGATGACTAACTGTGTCAGCACAGGGGTGCCTGGGAACCAAGGGCACCATTAAAACTCAGTCAAAGCAGCTTCCTGGGAACCAGTGTTTGTGAGGCCTCTTGTCTATAAACCTACCCCGGAAGCCTCCGAGAGGTGCGGGCCTCAGGAGATTGATGATCTGCTTTCTCTTTGAGATCAACTGACGTGGAGAAGTGTGTGCATGTGCGTGTGTGTGTGTGTGTGTGTGTGTGTGTGTGTGTGTATTTCCTTTTTCAAATGAAAGTTTACAACCTCAGCTCAAGTGTATGAGGCAGACCATTCTGTTAGTAAACTACCTCCTTCCTGGAAAACTCTCAGCTTCATGTTTTTTTGAGCATCCGGTGTTCTTAGCATCCAAAGGTGACATACCACTTAAGATCCATATTCACTGGGGAGACTTCTGTTCGGTATCTAGCTGGTATCCATCACAAGTCACTTTGCCAGGACGTTCGCTGGTGGGCAAAAGTAGCCTAAGCGAAGATAAGGGAGCAGGTTGAATGAGCTTTTGAGACATCTGTGGTTATCTTAGCTTTTCATCTGCTCTGGCCCTTATCTACTCATTTGTATGCTGGGAAATGTTTAACAACCAGGCTTTCTGAAAGGGAAAAAACAATCCTTCAATTGTAGCATTTGCTGATTCCCATGATTAAATTATTTCCCCTGTGGCTGATTTTAAGCTACTACCTTAGAGCTGAGAAGGGATGAACACAGTTGGCTCAAAGCCACACACTGAGCCAGCAAAGCACCGCATTTATTCCATCCTAGGGTGGATTTTCACATAATTTCTAAAAGAATTTTCTTCCTTGTTCATATGCTGATTTCTTAAAACACAAAATTAAAATCACATGGCTAGCTTCAGTAATCTTTTTTTTAATGGTTTGTCAGTGCCTTTGTGAGGTTACATTCCTCATGGCATATTTTGTGTGTTTTAACAAAGTAGAAACTTCCATTGATTTTTAAAAATACGTACATGATGGAATAATCCAGAAACCCTCAAAAAAAGTCAATGTAAGCTATATAAGCAGAGATTTTTTTCTTCTTCAGATTTTGATGGGGAAACTAAGCCCATGAGCCCATGTGTGTGTGTATGTACACACACATATATATACGTGTATACACACACATACATGTATGCATGTGTATATGTGTATATAATGAAAAAGGGTCCTGGATTTTTTTTTTTTTTTTAAACTGGAAGAACTCTTCGATGATTTGCATACTGTATGAGAGATCAAAACAGGCATGACTATTGAATCCAATCACCGGGCACAATTTCTAGTTTTCTCCATACTGTGCGACTCAGACGTGGAGGGGAAAGTAAATAAATAAAGAGGTGTGGGATTCTGTGGCTGTAACTGCAGGCTATTGGTAACATCACTCCAGTCCCATTCAAACCTGTTGTGTGAGTTGTAGCCTCATAACTTTGTTTCATCCTGGTCTCAGAACAGGTGATAGGATTCTGAATTTCTAAAGGCAGTTTTGTATGTTTCTGGGGAATTTAAGCGCTAGAAGCACTCATTGCCATTTCAGAAAAGCAGTCTGCAGCCTTTTCGAGCACACCTTGATCAGTAAAAGTTTTAAACACCGTATTTCCTACTGCGAAATCCTACGTGTTTAAGTGGAGTTGTATGCCGCTGTAGGAAAGGCACATGTACGTTCTGAGATGTACACGAAAATAGCAATTAAGGATGGTCTAAACAGTAAATCTTGACTGCAAGTTGTACTGTTTTCTTCCTGCCCCAGTAGATGGTCTCACGCACCTTCTGGCAGCACGTGCTTTACCTTAAAGACCACGGACTCGGGACACTGTTTCACTGCTTAATCTTGAAAATAAAACCTGGATACTTTTGTTGTGATATGTGGAGAACTCCTTTACATATTTGATCTGATTTTCATGTAAAACCCCTAGAAGTTTGATTTGGAAGTTTTCAGTAAAAGCTGTCTTCAGCTTCCTGAGATTTTATATTAATTCTTTTTTGTAAATAACCCCATTACCAAATGTTTTCCAGAGCTTTGTGCATATTATTTTTGACAGCCTGTTGGCTCTTGTGTCTTCATACTAGATAGGACTCTTTAATTTACTTTTATGTTACCAGCCTGCTTACAAACTTCTTCTGGCCTTATTAATACTGTATTTTACCAACAGATTTGGAATTATGTTAAGTTGCTTTATGCTAAAATAAGAGAATCACCCCCACTTTCTTGCTGCATTCACAGGCTTTGCTTTAAAAAAATTTTTTTTTAATGTTTTTATTTATTCTTTGAGAGAGACAGAGAGTGAGCTGGGGAGGGGCAGAGAGAGAGGGAGACACAGAATCTGAAGCAGGCTCCAGGCTCTGAGCTGTCAACACAGAGCCTGATGTGGAACTCAAACCCACGAACCGTGAGATCATGACCTGAGCCAAAGTCAGACGCTTAACCGACTGAGCCACCGAGGCGCCCCTGTAAGCTTTGATTTTTTTAATTTGTTGGAACGTTTCAGCATCTCTTGAAGAAATAACTTTCCTTAATGGGTCTGTGCTATTTATCACTTACTTGTATATATTTTAGTTGCCCATGCCAGAAATCTAGAATTGTGCTGAGGTGTGTAGACAAGGATGGAGACGGGTGCAGGTGTCATTGTGCAGAAAGCTCCAAATGAATTCCCAAACCAATGGGAAAGTTAAAAAGGCTACTCATGATGTATGTAGTCTGTTAGCTGAGGGCATGACAGAACATGTTCTTTCTAAAATGGAGCTGAGAAGTTAATTGCTTAAGCCATAGTAGGGAAGTGGAGGCCAACCATAATTATCTTTCTTTAGCAGATAATCTGATCAGAGAATGGGTCCTATGGAAAATATTTCATTAATTATCTTCTTGCTTTGGGGTCAACAAATAGATGTTATTATTTTTAATGCTGCTAGCATTACCTGAAGCAGGGTGCCCTGTTATTCCTCTTAGGTCATCAGAATTCTGCTTACTGAAGTTTGAAGTTTTAATCTCAGAGTCTAGAATTCTTGTGGGTGGTAGTATATGAAGCAAGGAAAAAAAAGGCGGTTTGATTTCATTTCTCGTACTTGGTAGGACCTGTTAGCACAAAAGTCATGTTTTGACCTGTAAACAGAACAGTCTGAAAGGTGAGTTGTCGATGCGGTTTAAATGTTCCATTTGAAGCTGCCAGTTTCTTCAGGCTTTTCTGGGAAAAAAAAAAAAAAGTAAGTGCTAGATTGACAGCCTGCCGGAAAATGACAATTGCTAGGATGCCGCCATTCGCACTGAGCGCTTGTGAAAGATGGAAGTCCAGAGTGGTTTGTGCGAGAGGGGAGATGTTGGCTTTCAGGCTTTCTGCAGAAACCAAGAAATTCAAGCTGTCGTTAACATCATTTTAAATGAAACCTTTAACAAGAAAACTCATGAGGGATACGATTAAACGTGGTAAGGCTCTTGAACTCTAGTTTTTTTAGTGTAATACATATCAGAAAGTTTTATGAGGTTTAAATTTTCATTTTGAAATATGTAATTGGGGGACTGGAGCATTTCTTTTCAAATTCATTCTGGTTTATCTGCTGAGTACCGTGTGTGTGTGTGTGTGTGTGTGTGTGTGTGTGTGTGTGTAAACAAATCTGTCTTTCAGAGGGAACATATATTTTTCATCCTCTAGGATGGCTCCCAGGCTATTTTATACGAAAACTTAAAAAAAAAAATTGGCTGCACTTTGCAGTTGCCACTTTTAAAAAATTAATGCCTTGCACATTTCAGTTTTTTTAAATTCTTAGACTCATAGGCCTTAAAGACTAATTGCTTGCCAACATTTTTAGAAATAGGAGGCTGCATGTGACATGCGCTGAACAAAGCCACGTTAACCCACTCGCTTGTGCACGTATCACTGCTCAAATGCAGATGCCCTTTCCTAACATTTCTACACTATCACTTTTGTGTAAAATCCTTGTTATGTTGGGGTCTGAGTTTCTCAGAGAGGGGGTTTATACTAAGAGTAGTATTTCTAAAATACAGATTTGACCGTGAATTGATAAAATAGTGGAGGAGTTGTGGCTTTGTAGTCTAGTTTACCCTTTCAGACTGTACATAATAAGCATTAGCAGAAACCTCAGAGTATCTCGGGCTGAATGTTCTTCTCAGCTTGCTCTGTTTCCCATCTCCTGAGGGCCCATTCTGAGTCTTGTCCCTCCAAGGACTATGAGCCGCGCTAGGACAGGCCTGGGATCAGGACAGGGTGGGCATGCCCTGCGGCTAGGCCAGAGCCGTAGCCAACGGAATCGTCCAAATATGCCCAGAATAGAGTTCATACTGGTATTAAATCACTTGGCACTTTTGGGGGCACCATTATTAGCACTGTTTTGTTATTAATAACTGGAAGCACAATGGTAATTTTGATTCATTTCATCTTAAGGATATGGAGGGTCAGAGAAGTAATGTCTATTTCTCGTTTATGTTTTCTGGAATTAAGACTCTTTGGAGAAGAGGTAAATGGATTACCTGATGAGCCATTCTTCAGGGCTCTGTAAGGTATGCTCTTTTGGCCAGGATGTTTTAAAATCATTTACAAGCTTTTAATACTCTGCTTTGTGGAAACGTATGACTTATTAAATGATTTGCAATTGATGGAGTACACTCAGCTTTGTAAACTATCCAGTTACATGTTTCTTTTCTGTTTTGTCGTTGTTGCTCATTGTCTGTTAGGCAGGGGACACAGTCCCTTCTAAGACACTTCATGGGTTTGTTTTTGAGGGCAGTTTTACCAGCGCCTACATTGCAGTCAGTGCTTATGTAAGAAGTAGGAATATCTTATCAACTTCCCTGTTCACTGTGAGTGAAATTAACTAATATGCCTATATGTAAAGATAGAAATGAACACAATTAAGTTTTGATCACTCATGGCCTATTTATTCGGTTTGGCCGTTTGATTTTCCTAATCACAGTCCTGTCGGTTTCTGCACTTTTGCCTTCTTGCAGTTTCACTGACCTCTGTGGGTAGGGAAGATTCAATATGAAACTCAGTCCAGTCATTTTGCCACTGATAGCTTTGGTTTGAGGTGAATACAATTTTTGACCCGAAACTAGTTTTTTACAATTATATCCGTTTTTTGGCCAGATAATCAAGTTGGTTTTTTAAAAAAGTGTGTAACTTTGCATTTTGAAGAACAAACTAAGAATTTTCTATGAGTCCTAACTGGATCTTCAGGTGTGGACGTCACTTGACAATGGAATGTTATTAGATAGTGAACGTTTGATTTTCATCCACCCAGTGTATAATGCAGAGGAAAAACATGTCTGCTGTGGCATTAACACCGGAGAGAAGTTTTTTTTGTTTTTTGGTTTTTTTTGTTTTTTACATCAATGTCTTAATTCGGGCTGTGTGGTCATCAGAACTTGTTGGGGTGTTTCCCTCCAACCCAGATCCACTTGGCTGAGAAGACAGTTCTGTCACTGTTTGTTTCCCCCTTGTTTATTGAAATCTATCGCTCACGATACCTAATCTCCACCGCGTCTGTATAAATGGACCGTTTCTATGTGATGCAGGTGCACACCTACCCAAAGGAATGAATGACGGTTAGAGCAGCACTAGTGACTTGTTATAATTTCAGTATGATTTACGTTAGGGAGATCTTCAAAGTATTAACATTGCTTTTTTCTTCTTTTTCCTACAACAGCAACGAAAATGATGGTAACTGCTAACATTTATTGAAATTATACTGGTTGTTGGGGCAGCTGGAGAGAAGCTGCCTTGTCTTCTAGCTCAGCAGTGGGACTTAGCCTGTTGGGAAACAAAGGGGTGTTGTTTTAAGGTTGATTAGAAGGATGGGAGCCAGAGTCTCGGATTCTAATTCTTGTGGCAAAGAACCTTCACACAGAGCGTAGGTAGGTGAGGAAGAGGATGCGCTAGCACTTTGAGGGCTTTACGATATGCTGCTTTGAAAAGAGAAAAGGACCGTTGATACTCAGTGCATCTCCAGACATAGCAAGGGGTTGCTCTGATAACCAATCAGGTGATCGCTTTTTCTCTCTCACTTCAAGTTTTATGCAAAAGTTTTGTTACATTCTGTAATGGTGATATGTGTCTTTTTAGAAAGATGATATGTTAAAAACAACTATTTTTATGCAGGAACTGACAGAGGAATTTGCTTTGTATAATGGCAAGCTAGCTTTAAGAAAGCACCGTAGCAAATTTACTGAAGTCTGAAACTACATAGATATGTTAATAGATATATGTGCAACTAGATATGGACGACAATTGTATTTTTTTAAATAAATATTTTTAACAAAATGATCCTCTGAATTGATTATTCCTGTCACACCCATTGAGATAGTCTCTGGATTCTGTTTTCATCCGTGCTAAATGTGGGTTAGTAAAAAGTTTGGTTTCCCAGTGGTTATTAAAACCTGGCCATCAACTATTTGATGTGTAGCTACATTAAAATATTTAAAGCCTGGGGCGCCTGGGTGGCTCAGTCGGTTGAGCGACCGACTTCAGCTCAGGTCATGGTCTCAAAGTTTGTGAGTTCGAGCCCCACATCAGGCTCTGTGCTGACAGCTCAGAGCCTGGAGCCTGCTTCTGATTCTGTGTCTCCCTCTCTCTCTGCCCCTCCCCTGCTCATGCTCTGTCTCTCTCTGTCTCAGAAATAAACATTAAAAAAATTTTTAAAAATAAAAATAAAAAAAATAAAATATTTAAAGCCTGAGTTGGGATATAGGTGCTGGAAACGGGAGATTGTAAAATGATTGTTGCCATAAAAAGGAATTGAGAACTGACGGGCTAGAAAAACTACTCCCTGTGTGAAAATTTCACTTCTGTTTGTTTGTTTGTTTTTAACTTAAGAAACTTAGATTCTTTCATTCTAGCCCTTGTGAGCACC